TGAGACTGTCATCTTCATCATGGAAGTGTAATTCTTCCTCCATCAGTTACCAGTGGCACAAGCACCCTATTCAAAGCGTAGTGTAGAGAGAGCCTGTGTAGTATTTTGTAAATATGAGAGCATTGGAAACTATACACTGTTTTGTTATGAAATTACAACTGTAATATTAATGGTACAGGGAGACAGTTCATTCAAGCGTGCAAATGTGAACACACGTATTTGTGCACGCGTGTGAATTCACTGTGCTATGGCTGATGTTATATCTCTATAATAACATCTCCACTGAGTTTGCTGGCTTTTCTTCAAATGTGTAACTAATGGAGGAGGAAACTTTGTATAGAAGAATGAAAGGTGACAGAAGCTCAGAGAACTGGGATGGATGCTTTCCTATCAGCGAATAGTCAGGGTTGCTTCTGTCTTGCGGAAATTGGGAAGTCTTATCACTGCCGATTGTGGCAATGGTGGAAACTGCAGCGTGCTGGATACATGAAGAGGGTATTGTTAGATGCCCGAACCATCCTCACCCTGTTGCCATCTGATGCCTTGAGATCTGAAGTTACACAAATTGAGAATTCCTTGTATATTTTCTTCCCTCTTACAGTTTAACATGAATACAAAAGCCAATGTTTCATTTCCCATCTTCAGTGAAGTCACTCATCTTTCATAGCATAAGTGTGTCTAGCATTCTACCAGATGAAGAGAATAACGTTTCAGACCTACGCGTTCACTTGGACTAGGATAAAGAGGCTGAAGGCACTGAAGAATTTGACCATTTCATACCATATCAGTTGGCTCCTCTGATGCCTGGAAGGCTGTTAATAAACAGATAGGTTCCTAGTTTCTGGTAAGAGAACAAAACAGGACAACTTCTGTTTCTGAGTGGTATGGCTAACAGCTTCAGGGCGTAAGCTAACTCTGCTTCCCTCTCCTGTTTAGCACTTTCACTTATAGATTTATGACTCTGAGTAAGTAGGGAGGTATGAAGTTCGTTGTAATTGGTACTGTGCATAAATGTAAATGACCATTTCAAATGTGGATGCCCTGCCGGCTATTACTTTTTTTTTTAATTTCCCTGGCTATTGCTCTTTTTAGATCACTGGGATTTGTTTTACGTGTGGAATGTTTTGGCTCCTGGGAGATGAATTCTACCTCAGGGCCTCAAGCCTGTGGGAGGTTATGTTGTACTCCCTAGGCTGCATGTTAAGGTGTTGATGCATGATTTCAGAGGTCCATAGTTCACTAAAGTTACTGCAGGTATGAAGGATTGTTTGTTTTCCTTCTGGTCTCTTAATTTGATATGAGTGAGTATTACAAGAGGTCACATCAGCAAAGCATCTCTAGCTGTTCTCCTGGTTGCCCAGTGTCTCCTAGTGAGTCACAAGTCAGCCACCATCTTCAGTGCTTACTGGGCAGGGTCCAGTCCCAACAGGATTTTTGCAAAAGGGGTATGAAAAGTATACTGACTTTGATACAGGGGGCCACTGACCTGCAAGTAGGTGACGAAACTAGTCGGGTCAGAGGAAGGAGATGCTCGATAACTGGGAAAAGTACCTGAATGTGGGAAGCAAGAGATAGGGGTAGCACAGGAGCCATGGAGGAGAGAATTGGAAAGTTCAGAAGATGGAGCGACCGGGAAACACAGAAAGGCAGGAAGTGGATAAGAAGTTCTGCATGTGCTAGACGCAAATCTAGATACCCACTTGGGGTATCAGTTTTGGAGCGCTTACCTTGAGTTTGGCTTTCCTGAGAAAATGCTACATATCCGTAATTTTGTGGCAGCTGCGGAGCTGAGCACATCAAGTCCGGCGAAAGGGAGCTAAAGGGAATCCAAAGGATGGCAGTGTTACCCAAAATGCTGACCCACCTTCAGGGGTGCGTAAGACATCCACGGAACTGTTTGGCTTGTTGAAGCTGCACTGCTGTGCCGCAGATTGACAGGTGTCTGTCAGGGCCAGGCTCTAGGGCATGATGTCGCTCCAGCTTCTGGAGTAGGATGAGAGCCCAGAATCAGGTGTCCTGCTGTGCTACAGTCAACAACAATTTTTCCCAGGGATCTATGAAGGGTTTTTTGTGTACTGTGGAATTAGTGACTGATATAGCCTAGGGGAGGTCATCATAAACTCTTGAACCATAGCAACATGCCATATCTGAGCTTGGAGATGTGAACACAGCCACCACCTCAGAGAGAAGCTTAGTGACACCTTTAGGTGGCACTGGTCTTGTGGTGTTGGCTTCAGACCTATCAGCCAAATCACTCTGCAGGGAGTGTTATGGTACTGCTGTGCAGCTTTCTGGAGTGCTGCTTCGGGGTTCGCCTCTTGCCCCTCCCTGACATCTCTGGATCTCCCTTGCCGTTCCTCTCCAGTTTTGCAAATTGTGTACCATCACAAGATGCTGGCCCAGCAAGGTCCGCACGGAGGCTGAACAGTGGCAGCTGGCATCGCCTCTTAATATAGAAGTGAGGGGTGTGGCTGCACAAGGCAGCGTGGTGCGGATCAGTTTGGGAACAGGCTGTGTGCTAAAAAGAGTTTAGTTGCACGTTGCAAAGGCTTATGGGGTTGATACCGAGTCTGAGGTGCAGCGTAAGTACACAGAGGGAAATGCAGTGGCTTCTTAAGGGCTTTCAGGAGCAAGCACAGGCGGTATATAGCAGCCTGGGTGCCTACTCAGAGATGGACTGTGGTAGGAGGTGAGCAGAGCGGGTAGACATGGCTGGATGGGACTGCAGCTCACGTGGAGGCACCTTAGCTATCTGTAACACTGCTAGCTCAGGTAACGTGAAGACCAGAGCTGTGGCAGGATGAAATGTCTGCATGGGCTGGAAAATCGTCCTGCAAATTGCTGTGGAGCTCCACGCTGCCTCTGCTATGCTGCCTGAAGCTTGCTCGTTTAAACCCTGTACAGGATGAGCTCAATCACAGCAGTGATTGCAATGTAGACATGCCCTATATCCTCTTATAAACCTCAGGAGCTTTTCCATCCCTCCCAAAAGCTGTTTTTAAAGGATTTCTCAATAGTTAACCACGTGAATGAATAAATCATAATTATGATTCAAATAATCCTGTGAATGAATAATTCATTGTCATAATTGAAAAAGGAATGTCAGCAAGAAGCATTTTACTATTACAAAGGTAAACATTTATTCATTTTTTTAAAAAGAAAAGGTATATTCTCCAGCAAAGTATTTTTCATCTGGCTGCCATACCCTAATTATGTATAATATGAAAGAAAAATATGCTTCCTTGTGCGACAGCCATCTTCATATAAATGAAAAAATATGCTTCCATTTGCAACAGCCATCTTCAATGCTAACGCGTGAGAAAGGAAAAAGGATTAAGCGACATTCAACTCATATTCACCTCCTTTCTGAGGACAGAGCCAAACAAGGCAGCCATAGTCAGCCGGTCAAAATGTCCAGAGCTTGAAGTAACTGAATATTGCCAGCTGGTTAGCGAGGAGCTGAGAGGAGGGGTAAAGAGGGGAATGTTTTCTTCTAGATCTGTGCTGCCAGGAGATCGTGTAGGCTAAGCATATGGCTCGCAGCCAGCAAAGGCATCAGATACTATGATGATAAAAGTCGTCTTAATAATATTTAGCACCAACAAAGGGCTTTCAAGGGAAAGACAGACTTTTGTCCCGGGAAGGATGGAAGCAGCCTCACCTGTTAGCCCCATTTTTGGAGGGAGAAAGTACACTGTCATGAGTTTCTCTACGCTTTCAGATGCCAAGCGTGACATGGATGGAGCAAGCCACAGGTTTCTAAAGGCAAAAGAGCTGGAAGTCTTGATTGCCTGCGAAATGCAGTTTTGGCTCCCAGGGAGACGAAGTGCTGACTGTGTGGTGGTAAACAAAAAAATGAGCAAGCTCACCCGTTTGGTACCTGGGAGAAGGGGGCAAACTCTATCCACCCCAAATGAGAGGAGAGAAACTGTATTTACCTGTGTCTTTCCCCAGTTGCACTGTTCACCGTGTGACAGGTTGTCTCCATCTGTGGATGGTCCGACGCCACTGTCGTGCTTGCATCAAAAAGGGGGGTGGGGGGGAGCCACAGGCATGGAGCGACTGGCTCAAGGTCAGGCTGAAGGTCAACTCCAGCCTGCGGCAGGGACCCGAACACCACCGAGGTCTCCCGGGTCCCACGGCTGAGCTCTGAGCACGGACCGGAGCCGGCGGTGTTCGGCAGTCCCCGCCAGGGTTTTGGCTGAAGGGGCAGCGGCGGGGGCAGGTTTTCATGGTGGACGGGTGGGGGAAAAGAAGGGCGGGGG